TGGAGGCTGGGTCTGCTAGCCCAGGTGTGGTTGATGTTGCCAGCAGTTCTAAAGTTCAGTCACGTAGTAAGCCTAAAGCTAAAGCTCAGCCTCCGCGTCGTGGGCGTGGGAGGGGTAAGCGCCGATGATTTTGTTGTCGTGGAATGTCAGGGGTTTCAAGACCCCTGAGAAACATAGGTATATATATAGTCATCTAAATAAAAATAGAGTAGATTTTGTTGCTTTGTTAGAAACAAGAGTAGTGAAGGAGAATTATATTCCTATAGTTACAGGACAGTTCAAAGAGTGGGAAGTTATGGATAATTACTCACAGTCAGCTTCGGGTCGGGTCTGGTTGCTCTGGAGGAATGGGCTGCAGGTTACAAAGTTGGAGGTTGGGGAACATTTTCTTCATGTGAAGGTAACAACAAAGGATGAAGTCTTGTTTGTTACTGCTGTTTACAGCCCCAATAAAACATTGCAGAGGGCACAGTTATACAGGGATCTAGCAGTTTGTCAACGGTCTGATGTTCCTTGGGTTGTCTTTGGCGACTTTAATGCCATTGTAGACGTCAATGAGGCTTCGAATGAGGTGGTAGTGAACCAGAGCATGCTGGATTTTCGGCATTGGATTGATGAAATGCAACTGATTGACCATAGGGTCTCGGGTTCGTGGTATACGTGGTGGAATAAACAGCAAGCTAATCCTATTGCCAGACGTATAGACAGGGTTTTAGTTAATAGCCCTTGGTTAGATAGTTTTCAATCCAGTGTTGCTAAAACTTTGAGTCCTGGTATCTCTGATCACTGTGGGCTGTTATTGTTGACATCAAATGGTTTGAAGAGTTTGCCAAAGCCTTTTAAATATTTTAAGTTCGGGAGATCTCACCCTACTTACTATGATCTTTTGAAAGCAGCTTGGGAGGATTCTGATCTGGTTGGGAATGATCCTTTTGATAAACTCTTTATGAAGCTTTTGAGGCTGAAGAAGAAGCTTCGTGCATTAAATCGTATTGCTTATGCTGGCATTTCAGTTAAGGCTAGGGAGGCAGAGGTTAGCCTGGCTGCTGCTCAAGATGATGTTCTCAAAGCTCCTACTGCAGAGAAGGTGGCAAGGGAATCAAACTTGGCTCAGTCATGTTTTGAAGCACAAGCTTCCGAGGAAAGCTTCTTCAGACAGAAGTCTCGGATGTCTAGGGTTTTGGGAGGTGACTCTAACACAGGGTTCTTTCACAATTATGTCAGAATCCGTAACAAAAGACAGACTATTGATCATCTAGTGGCAGAGGATGGTTCTGTAGTCACTGATGTAGAGCATATGGGGGATGTTGCTGTGGATTTCTATAAAGCTTTGCTTGGCAAGGTTAATAGGGAACTCAAGGAGCAGCCAGTGGAATATTATGAGGCTCTACTCAGGCACAAGTTAACTCCAGATGCTGCAAGGGAATTACAGGGGGAGGTCACTCGGGAGGAGATTAAAGCTGTTTTTATGGCTATGGCGTCTGACAAGGCCCCTGGCCCGGATGGTTATCTTGCTGATTTCTATAAGGAAGACTGGTCAGTTGAGGGGAAGGATGTGGAGGATGCTCTCCTTCAATTTTTTGAGACAGGTATTTTACCTAGGAAGCTTAATTCCACTATTCTTGCTTTGATTCCTAAGCTAGCAAATGTTGAGCGAATGAAAGACTTTCGACCCATATCCTGTTGTAATGTTCTCTATAAGGGCATTACAAAGATTCTAGCTAATAGGTTGTCGAAGGTCCTTCCCCTCCTCATTAGTCATTCACAATATGCTTTTATAAAAGGAAGACTAATCTGTGATAATATTCTCATGGCGTCTGAGTTAGTTAAAGACTATAATAAAACATATTTTGCTCTTAGATGTGTAGTTAAGGTCGATTTAATGAAGGCGTTTGATTCGGTTAATTGGTCTTTCCTTTTCACGGTTATGACTGCTATGGGTATTCCAGACTGGTTTGTTCACAGAGTTAGGGTGTGTGTGTCTTCCCCGATGTTCAGTGTCTGTTTGAATGGGGGGTTGTGTGGTTATTTCCCAGGGGAGAAAGGCCTTAGGCAGGGAGACCCGATTTCGCCATACTTATTTGTTATATCTATGGAGGTTTTCTCTTGTTTGTTGGCTAAGGCAACTGCAGAGGGTCAGATACCATACCATCCACGCTGTAAGAGTCTGGCCATTTCCCATTTAATATTTGCAGATGACCTTCTTGTGTTTTCTGATGGCTCTTTTAAGGCAGTAGAGGGGATTAAAGGTGTGTTGGGGGATTTCTATTCTCTGTCTGGTCTGAAATGCAATCCAGATAAGAGTCAGGTTTTCTTTGGAGGGGTTCCAGCTGAGGATCAGGTTATTATTGCTGGTTCGGCAGGTTTCCCATTGGGCACATTCCCAGTTAAGTATTTGGGGATGCCACTTTTGTCTGAGAAGTTGTCTACAGCTGATTGCCAGATATTAGTGGATAAGATTACTGCAAGGATCCGTGGATGGAACTCAAAATCCCTAAGCTATGCTGGTCGTATCCAACTTGTCTCCTCGGTGATTTCTAGTGTGCTTCAGCATTGGATGAGTGTGTTCCTCCTTCCTTAGAGTGTGTTGAAGGACATTGAGATTATATGTAACAGTTCCTATGGGGGGTGGGGGAGAATGGTTCGCGAGTGAAAGCTTTGGTGGCTTGGGAATATGTTGTTACTTTGAAAGCAGAGGGTGGGTTGGGAGTGAAAGATTTTAGAGTCTGGAACCGCGCCTGTGTTATAAGGCACATTTGGGATATTCTGGCCGGAAGTGGCTCTCTTTGGGTGGCTTGGATCAGGAAGTACAGGCTCAGGGCAAAGTCTATTTGGGAGGTTTCTCCAACCTCGGTGGGCTCGTGGGTCTGGAAGAGGATACTAAAGGCGAGGGAGGAGGCTCATCAATATATCACAGGTGCTGATATGTCTTTGCGCTGGTCAGGGCAGCCTATGCCGAGATTCTCTGTGAAAAAGGTTTGGCTCTCTATCCGTTCCACTAAGCAGGAAGTTCCATGGGCTAAGCTGATTTGGGGTAAGTTTTTTATTCCTAAACATGCTTTGATCTTATGGCTCATCATGTTGGATAGAATCTACACACGTGATAAACTTGCTATGTGGGGGAAGGTAGAGGACACAGCTTGTGTGCTTTGTCCAGGAGGGGTGGAGTCTTGGGATCACCTATTTGCTTCTTGTTCATATACATCTTATGTGCTGCAGCATACTTTAGTTGACTTCCTTCCTCTTCCTGTCCACACTTCTTGGCATGATATTGTGTTATGGGCGGTAAGGTTCTGGGATGATGCTTCTATAAAGTGTAAGCTTGGTAAGCTACTATGGAGTATGGTGATGAGCTATGTATGGAGGGAAAGATGTAAAAGGTGTTATGGCACAGGTTTGCAGCATCCCCCCAGATGGTGACTCGGATTCGATCTGAAGCTGGTTTTTTGATTAGTAGCAGAATTGATTCACAGATTGCTCTTCCCAGTTTTCTTTAGTATAGTTCTTCTTGTTTTCGGTTTTCATAGTTTGATGGTTATTGTAATCAGTACACTTTGTATTTTGGAGAGGGACCCTTAGTTACAAGGATCCTAGAGCTTAATGAAATTTTGATTAACCATAAAAAAAAAATTAGGAATTGGCAGTTCAAGTTTGAACTCCCATGAGCATGACCGGGTCAATGTCAAATTTCTCATGAACTATATATCCACTACGCGGGCTTTTACCAAAGTCAGCGGGCGGATTATTTTTTTAACGTGCAAGACAAATGGATGTCTATAATATTAAAGGATGAGGCTCATATAACAGCAAGAGCCACATGCATGCTTTCATACACTACAAGTTTGATCACCATCTAACTCACATTTTTTATTAATTTATGTTGTTGACATGCAATTCACGTTAGCAATTGTGCTAAATCACCAGAAGTTCACTACACCACTAAACTCACAAAGTATACAAGTATCTGAAAGTCCACTGCCTTCGATGACTGTGTCGTGCTGTGATAGACGCCAATCCTTACCTTCTCCTTTATCTCTGCACCGCCGACAAGGAAGAGCACAAGGTTGTGTTCTAGATTTTTACCCATGTCTGTCCTTATCTTATGATTGCTTTTAGGAGGTTAAATTGAGGCTCGCTTACTCGAATACGTTTCGCTATATGGTGTTAGCACTTTAGCGCCGTGTCCGGACCTCCTCCAACTTGCTTTTAATCTTGCGTGGCGGCCGGTGGCGGGAAAACGAGTAGATTATATATATTTAGGGCCGTTTACTTTCATTTCTGTTTCCTGTTTTTTAGAAAACAGATGTTGAATACAGGTGAAAACAACATTTTTTCGTTTCCAAAAACAGCAGGAAGTTGCCACTTTCTGTTTTCATAGTTGGAAACGAATAGAAAACGGAATGAAAAGTAAACAAGTTTTCTCATTTCGGTTGCCAAATTTATGACATGAAAACAGAAAACAGGAAACGAAAATGAAAGTGAACAGGGCCTTAGGTTCTTGCTTCTCATGATGTCAACATAACTATACAAATAGCCACCAACAAAAACCAGCGGCGGTCAACCCCAAACGAAAACCCCCGCGGTCCAGACAACCGCAAGAATGAAGCCTTAATTAGTCAATTAGTTATCATTAAGCTCCATATTTCCACACAGTATAAATAGCCACCAGACAGAGCCTTAAAACAGAAACCCACATCGCAACTCGAAAGTACCGATAGAGCATCAACTCAAATCCCAACCAGAAACAAAAAAGAAGAAAGCTACCGATAAGAGCGTCGTTATGGCCAAAACTGCAAATTTACCTCCCAACCACTTCCTAATTGTCTCCATCATCCAGCTCGTAATTCACTACAAAGAAACAAACTTATGACAGCAATTTACTAACAGGGGTTCCCATAACCCTTGCCGCACAAATGACATTTCCATACAACAACTGTTATATCCAGCGGTTAAAAGAACCCCTGCTGATTTTGGGATTAAATAAAAATAAGTAAATAACATTCCAATAAACGCCCTCTCTCTCATCTAAAGTGGTGAGAATTCTCGTCTCCTTCACTGCTTTGTTCTCCCAAAAATAAATCCCTAATCCTAACAACCAAGCCTCAACTCTTTGCCGCATTCTTCGATTTCTTCACCGGCTGTGGCGGTCCCTTCGCCATTTGCGATCATCAGATATGGTGCCACATCCGAGAATGGGGCAATTTTCGCCATCGATTCAATTCATACGACCTTTCCTTTAATGTTCGAATCAACTATTTTCTCCTGCTTCGACTCAATTTATTCGTCGTATGTCGCTACTCTGTCCTTTAACCCTTGCCACTCTCGCTTTCTCAGGCTGTCCGTATTCTGGGCATGGATAACTACCCAGGGGAGGATCGACGTGTCGGAGGAGTATCTGAGGTCGACGATCGATTACGTGGAGATGGATCGGCCTAGGAGGCTGGAGTTCGACAGGAAGCTGACGATTACGCAGTGGACGAGGTTTCCGATCTACGAGACGGCGGATTTAGGGTGGAGACAATATTCCCTCATCAGCCTTCATAATGATCCCCACACCGGTTGCATATATAGTCCGACATGGACTCCAATTCCGCTCAATGAAGGCTAGAGGTCAACAAATTATCCGAACCACATACGAGTTAATTATCATATGTCATATTACATCCTCACATTTTTTATGAAAGGTGGTATTATATTTCATCAAAAAACCCGAGTACTGCTAGACTTTGGCCGAGTATGGAAGGCAGTTCAGGAACCCAACTTTGAAGACTTATTTGAGATGGAGGGTTGAGAGTCGAGTCAAGGGATTTGTGCCACATGAAAGTAGGTGTTTTCTTCTACAACATCATCGATGATGAGAAGAGCTCCAACAAAGAGGTGGATGTGGAAGAGGAGATCGTGATGGAGCGACTCCAGCTGGGAAGCTTATGGTAGTTAGAAGGCAAGCACTGTCCATTGAAGCTTCACCAGATGTCAGCCAGCGTGAAATTTGTTTCATTCACATTGTTTGGTAAATACCAAGTTGCTCTCTGTGATAAATTACATTGTTTTTATTGTAGCAAACTTTCAATTATGTCTGCTTATTTGGTTTTCTTATTTGGTTTGCATTTCCCACGACGATTGATTCGTCGTTAACCCGCCTTCCATTTCCTTGCACATTCACGGTGTCACTCGCTCACAAGCAAACCACGACACTACCCGTCCCGTACGGGTAATGGGTACCCGTTAACATGTCGAGTTTGGGACATGTGATGGAGACTCCTCAAGTTTGAACTTTCAAGTGTTACTTTACAAGATTAAAGACTTTCTTGTTCAGAAACAAGTCTGCAAGATTGTTTTCCAAGTCCATCGATTTGCTATGTCAAAACCGAGAAACTACCAGATTTTGGCCAAGTATGGAAGGCAGTTTAAGAACCCAACTTTGAAGACTTATTCGAATGGAGGGTTGAGAGTCGAGTCAAGGGATTTGTGCCACATGAAAGTAGGTGTTTTCTTCTACAACATCACCGATGAAGAGAAGAGCTCTGACAAAGAGGAGGATGTGGAAGAGGAGATCGTGATGGAGCGACTCCAGCTGGAAAGCTTATGGTAGTTAGAAGGCAAGCACTGTCCATTGAAGCTTCACCGGATGTCAGCCAACGTGAAAATTTGTTTCATTCACATTGTTTGGTAAATAGCAAGTTGCTCTCTGTGATAAATTACATTGTTTTTATTGTAGCAAACTTTCAATTATTACCCAATGAGAATATTTTTTATTTATTAGTAAAGTATGTCTGCTTATTTGGTTTGCATTTCCCACGATGATTGATTCGTCGTTAGCCCGCCTTCCATTTCCTTGCACATTCACGGTGTCACTCGCTCACAAGCAAACCACGGCACTACCCGTCCCGTACGGGTGATGGGTACCCGTTAACATGTCGAGTTTGGGACATGTGATGGAGACTCCTCAAGTTTGAACTTTCAAGTGTTACTTTACAAGATTAAAGACTTTCTTGTTCAGAAACAAGTCTCCAAGATTGTTTTCCAAGTCCATCGATTTGCTATGTCAAAACCGAGAAACTGCCAGATTTTGGCCAAGTATGGAAGGCAGTTTAAGAACCCAACTTTGAAGACTTATTCGAATGGAGGGTTGACAGTAGAGTCAAGGGGTTTGCGCCACATGAAAGTAGGTGTTTTCTTCTACAACATCAAGGAATTGGATGAAGAAAAACGTACCTCTATCCTTCGAACGAACCCTTAAAAGATCATATTGAGGGCTGTCAGTGTGTCTTGCAAGTCCGAATCCTTCTCGGATTAGCATTACTTTCCTTCTCCTGTTTTGAGTTGTTTACCAAATTCTTTTGTGTTTACTATCCTTTAGAGTTTTTAGTTTAGCCAATTTCTATTTAAAGCCTTTGTCTTGCATTGTAACCTCAGATTACGTCCAATTGAATGGAAACTTCAAAATTTTCGATTCACAAGTTTGCTTCGTGAGTTGATTGAATTGCATGGTGGATTCCGACTGATTCGTGTGGTTGTATCGAACAAGTAAACATATTGTCCGTGGCCTTCCTTCTACCTATCTATTTCGATCCTTCTCCCTTGTGCGCGATTGCACGAAATTGACCATCCAAAACACCCTAAACATCACCCTGTTTTCGTGTCTTCTTGTCCAAGGTTCAATTCAATCAAATTGATTTGAGTAAGTTTATCACTCTGATCGAAAGAGACCCATCTAGGGCTCATCAAGTGGCATCAAGGCCTGATTCGACACAGTGGCTAGAACGAAGAAGAAGAACTTACATGTTGCTGCAAGAGCGAGGCACAAGGATCCGATTGCCTTGCGGAAACTAGAAGAGTGAGGGTCTGTCAACGAGACTCAATCGGATCAACAAACCATGGGGAACTGTCTCTTAATTCAGATGAGGTCTTGCGATCGATGGTTTCAACCCTCCAGGCCTAGTTCGACCAAATTAATCGGCAGTTAGCCGATTTAAAAATGAAGGTGAACTACCTTGTTTCGCCGGCGAATGTAACAGAGCATGATGAGCTACGTGAGGCAGCTAGGAACTAAGGTGCTCCAATTGGAATCGATCTGGCCTTAGTGGAGCGTATTCAAAATCTTGAATGCATGCAGGTCACAACGGTTATCGAGAATGCTTTTTAGGTTTGCAATTAGTACCCATTGAGAATGCTTTTTATTTATTAGTAAAGTATGTCTGCTTATTTGGTTTGCATTTTCCACGACGATTGATTTGTCTTAGTCTTCCCATTTCCTTGCACATTCACGGTGTCACCCCTCACAAGCAATCAAGGAAGCGCCTCTATCTCGGAAGCTTATGGTAGTTAGAAGGCAAGCACATGCAATTGAAGCTTCACCGGATGTCAGCCAGCGTGAAAATTTGTTTCATTCACGTTGCTTGGTAAATAGCAAGCTGCTCTTTGTGATAAATTGAATTGTTTTTATTGTACCAAACTTTCAATTAGTACCCAGTGAGAATGCTTTTTATTTATTAGTAAAGTATGTAGACTCCTCTTCAAATTAGACTAGATGCCCGTTTCAAATGGGACGGGTACCCAGTCCTGTCTCGTTGCCCACCCCTACCAATAATTACTGAGAGTGATGTAGAAATGAATTATTGAGGGATCTGTCCATGTGTGAGTGCTTGTCGGAATAAGGATTAGATTTTGGAGAACGGTTTTTCAAGGATGAAGTGTTTGGGCTGGGTTGGATTTAGTGCTTAGACAACATGAGGGAAGTGTTTACACCTAAAATATTTTTGGCCAGAATTAAATGCCGCATTAATTAGTCTCGGCATTTAATTCGATACCGCGGGTAAAAAACTGTGTCGTTTGCAGTCGAGCGGCATCGCGGAGTGTTAAAACGATACCGCGAAACAAAAAATGGTACCGCAAGGAAGCTCGGCGGTACCGCGGCTAAGAGTTGAAAAGGGGAAGCATTTACCCTTTATTTAAGAGTCATAGGTGAAGTGGCGACGGGGTAGGACAAGATAGAGACAGAAACTAACATGGTGTGGCGCCAGCGAGTGGCGACAGGCGACGACGAGTGCGACGGGTGCTGCCCTGTTGGAGCTATCGAGTGCGACGGGCTAGAGCTTCACTGGACGGTGGCGACGGCGGTTGCGGACTTGCAGCGGCGGCGAATACTTCACTGGAAGGCCGGCTGCGCGACGGCGCATAGTGTGCTGGAGTGCTGGAGATGGAGGATTAGGGATTGCAGAAGAGTGGTTTGGAAACCTCGGCCTAATATCCACCCCCTTCCCCCCCCCCTTTTTTTGTCCGAAGTGATCAAAATGACGTCTTTTTTGTTTGACGGAGAAAATTTTCTCCTTTGCTTGGAATCGGATAAAAACGGTATGAAAGCGCGCTTTTATCCGATTTTAACGATTTTAACGATTCTACTAACGCTTTTGACTGATTTTGAGTAAAATATGATTTTATTAGTGATTTTAAACGTTTTCCTACCCTAGAAACGTAAAATCGTACGATTTTACGCTTTATAGCGCGATTTTGACTACACTGTATATATATATATATATAGTAACTAGGCGGTGATCCGCGTCTTGTCGCGTGGCGGAGATGACCTTGACATATGGGCATGTATTATGTGGCCCCTGATAGTGTTTTGTTAATATTATTAGTCTAAAATTAATTTTTTATTAGCAGTTGTATTAGTAATATTGACTTGAAATTATGATATTGACTGAAGAGATATATGGTGGTCAACATCCAATTTAAAATATTTTGAAATTTTTGTATAGTAAATGATATATAGCTAAACCCAAGTAGACCCATTGATCATGGGTAGGGTATGAGTGACATATATATGGGTTTTGAAGTTTGTAGATGGGTTTTGTTAGGGTATTGATATTTACTTACGTAATCTAAATATGTATGAGTTGAGTATGAATACCCATTTATTCGATGATGTTTTAATTCAACATACACAAATTAGACCTATTTGTAGATCTTCAAAAGTTTTGATATCAAAATATAATACACTAAAATTATAGGTACTAAAATATAATGTTCCACCTATATTTTAAGGTCTTATATGCAAAAAAAACAAATTTAGGTTATAAATCTAAAGATCTTTTAAGTTTAGGTACCAAACTATAATTTGCATAGTTGAGGCTTAATACCTTTTATGGTGATGTATTTAAGATGATAATTATTTTCTTTTTATAGAGAAATGAAAACTATTTATTTGATATTTGTAGTTACCTAGTCCAACATTCCATGTATAATTGTTGAAAATTCTAGCCCGAGTGAAAAATTTCACACCTTCAAATCTCATATTCGAAGATGACGACTTTCTAATAAGTAATAACCATATATATTTATTTTTAATTGGACTCGACATTGAGCTAAGAAAGTTTATGGTTTAATTATTAATTCTCTAGACTGTTGGTGAGTCGTATATGACCCGTTCATACTTGTAAGTAGAATACATAAAAATAGTATACTAATTAGGGTTAGACGAAGAAGACAAACAAAGAAATTAAAAAAGGGTTATGGAAGGCGAGTGAAAAATGAAACGAAGAGGAAGTAGATAATGGAAAGGTTTTGACCAATTCTTTTAGTTGGTTGTCACTAAAAAAAAACCTTTTCATCGCAGAAGTTTATTTAGTACCCCGTAAATGTACAAAATGAATTTATAAATTTGATTTTGCAATATTTGAGAGTCGTCTCTGTTTTATCGTTTATTTAATGTTTCACGTAATGAGTAAATATGAAATGGTCAAATCTTCTCTTACAGTTGAGTGATACAACATCTTGTATTGTACAAACTAAATCTATATTTTTATTTTATGGTGGATTGCATTCATGGATTGGTTCAAAAGGATTGGTGGATTGGATTCAAGTGAAATCTAAACATTGGACCAATATGTAAATTTAAAAAATTGTAGGTAGGAAAATCTCATAAAATTAAGATGCCAAAACATGATTGTTCAATGATTTTATATTAAAATTAAATTTGGAGTACCAAAATGTAAAATATACATTACGATTACTAAGTTGTAATTTAATTAAATTTGAGATATCAAAATAAAATTATTTAGGCAACAGTAATCTGTACTTTAGCTTTATATATAGTAATATTCATCCTCCATATAATGTTGTCATATCTTTTACTATCATCGCTATATGGCAATATTTATAGTGAGAATGAATCAAATTGGATGGTTCTATCTGTGAATCTTGCTGACTTGTACGTATTGCTCTCCCTATGTATTTTCCAATCTCTAGTTGATATGTATTTGAAATTGAAAAGTAATACACCACTATGTACCTATTTGCAAATCACTTCATTAATTTGGTACCAATCATAATTAAATATCATATGTAATTAATATCTAAACAAATGAGTATTTTGAAATTCAAATCTTAAATCCCAAATCCAAATCATTCTATTCAAACACACAATAAATTACTTTCAGCCTTCAGGGAACTTGTTATTGGGTAAGATCTTATCAAATTAAGGCATCTCCAATGATAATTTTGTTTCAAATTATCTTATTTCCCTTTCTTCCTGTTTCCCCAGCGAAACCAAATACCACCGCCGGTGCCGAATTTGGTTTCCGGCGATGTTGATTCGATGTTTCGCGGTAAAAACACTTGCGGTGCCGTTTGATCGGATGCACCGCTACTTGCTGAAATCGAGACGACTGTCAAATTCCACCAGGCGGTGTTGATTTGATCCGTGCAACTGACTTCTGAAAACGATGACAATCACCAAATATCCACCGCCGTGCGATGTTGATTTGATCGATGCACCTCTGAATGGTGAAATCAACGTGACCGTCAAATATCCACCGCCGGGCGATGTTGATCTGATCGATGCACCTCTGACTTCTAACAAACGCGATCGTTACTACGGTTCGCACCACTCCAAACTACGTTCGAACGAGGGTGTTTGAGTTTTGGGGAATCTACGTTACGACTACTCCTATGGAGAATCCTGTGGAGAGCTCCGCGACTACGACTACTTCTACCAACTATGGAGATCCTTACTAGAAGGAGAGCTCCGCGAAGGAGTTACAGAGAAAAGTTAAAGTTTTGACAGAGTTGTTCTGTGTTGATTTGGTTGTCCGCTCTCTCTCGTTGCTCCAGTGGTTTTATCTGAAATCACTTGCGTAGTCTTCACGCCCGGTAGAACTGCTTCCTCAACCGCTCCATCGTCAACTCCCACGTGTCTTCACTCTTCTCCACAGAGTCGTAGTCTTCAACCGATTTGATCTTCTCTTCACTCCCGAATCTCACGTGCAAGAAAATAACTCTGTTATTTTCATGAGCCCGCGACGTCGTTTACGCCTCCACCAACAAAGTTTACATAACAACGTCGTTGAACCCATTCACGACATTGCTCAGCTTTCAACACCGTCAAGCTCACTACGTCGTTGAGCTCCACGATGTTGTTTTGGCCTTGCATCATCGTTGAATTTCTCGGCATTGTCGAACTCGCAACATCGCTGAATTTGCGACAATGACATTGATTTCCATTGCAATGTTGTTTAACTCGCGACATTTTTAGCCTTGCGCCGCCGCATTAATTTAATATTTCGCGTACCACAGCGTTATTGGGCTTACTTGCGGTGTCGTTTTCTTCCTCAAACAGCTCCATTTGCTTTTTCTCCGCGACATTGTTTTATATTAAACACTGTCGTTTTCTCTAGTACAACGGTACCGTTGGGCTTACTCACGGTATCGTTTTTAACAAAACGACACCGCCTAACATAATAAAAAAACTAATTTAAACCGCCGAGTTGCACCCGTGTTGAGCTGGGCGGATTTTGGGCCAATCACTTACCCGATATGGTTTTTAATTAAACGACATCGCTTACCAAGGCTTCTCGCAGTATCATTTTCTAATCCGCGGTGTCATTTTTAGCTAAACAACACCGCTTGGTTCTACCCGCGACATTGCTTGTCACTAAACGGTGTTGTTTTTTATCCTTCTCCGACAAGGAATAAAAAGCACTCCTTTTCCAACCCCAACACCAACAATCAAAGCCGCTAACGACATTGTTTTCTACTAAAATAATGTCATTTCAAGTACCACGTGCGCTAATGAAAGACCGGGTTGCCAGCAATATGAAGTGTAGCCTGATTATCACAGTACAAAGGAGTGGGACGCACTACAGGAAAAAGACCCTTTAATCATGGGAAATCCGCCACTGGTTTTTGTTGGTGGGTATTTTTAATTTTTTATAGTTACGTTGAGATTATGAGAAGTCAAAACGTAAATGAATATATATATATATATTTTTTTTGCATTAAAGGGAGGCCAAGGCCAAGAACAAAGAAAGCGTTACAGTGGGTTCATGGAAGAGGAAGGGGAGTGAGAGGTAGCTACAATCTGTCGAGGCAAAGTTACCCCCATCATATCATCAGCAATAATCGTAGACAGATCTGGTGGGTTTGCAAGCTCATGAACACCGTAGGGATAGACGAGACTGTGCTTCGAGAGACAGTCTGTGACTCTATTCCCTTCCCGGTATACATGGGTAATGCTCACCAGCCATTCCTGGCTCAACTTCCTGCGGATAACCGAGAGGAGAGTCGCATGAGGGTGCACCGGATCACTTCTAGAGCTAATCAACTGAATGGCAGGTCTGAATCCGTCTCGACCCGAAGAGCCCTGCAACCTGATTTCCAAGCTATGTCCAAACCATAATTAAGAGCCCAAAGCTCAGAGAGAATGGCTGTCGCCGACCCAATGCTGGCAACAAAGCTAGTAATCCAGTTACCTGACGAGTCTCAAAGAGTACCTCCAGCCCCGGCCGGCCCCGGATTACCGCTGGACGCACCATCAACGTTCAACTTCATCCAACCCTCGGGCGGCGGCTTCCACCCGATCTGCGCCAGGATCCGCTGGGGCGGCTGATTCCTTCTGTTGGGGAGAGGGTCAGGGGCCTTCCACGCATTGCTCCAAAGTTTAGCACGGGCAACAATGGAGTTCTCAAGAGAAGAAGGTGAAAGAGCTGTGGCCAAGCCTTTGAAGCAGGCAGTAGAGCGATTCTTCCAGAGACACCACGCCGTAATCGCGAAGAAGGCAGGCCAAAGAATATCTGTCGAAGTGAGGCTGCTACTAAGGAGGTTCTCTTTGAGCCAGGTGTGCGCATTCATGCTAAAGAACGCATGATGTTGCTGAGGCGGTACCGGGCGTGACCAAACAAACATGGCCGGGGGGCAGTCGCGCAGGCAGTGAAGAATGGACTCATGCTGACCTGGGCATCGCGAACAGAAGGGCTCGTCCACCACCTTCCTCTCGAACAACAACTTCCTAGTGGCAATCCTTCCTGAAAAAGTCAGCCACATGAAGCTTCTTACCCTTTCCGGCACAGGCAGCTTCCATATGGCCTTCCAAACCTTCTCATCTGGGTCAGGAGGCAGTTGATGAAGCAATGAGAAAGCCGATTTGGCGCTGAACTTCCCATCCGCAGCAGGTGCCCAAAAAAGAGTATACTCTTCTTCCGATATCTTATCCACCGCGATACTGACAATAGCCTGGGTAGTGTCCGCTGGGAGCAAATGGAAAAAGAGTTCGGGTAACAATCTTCCCTCCTCGTCCACGAAATCAGCCACCACAGCTCCCTCTTGATCCGCCGGGATACTTTCCAAAGCAACCTCCTTAAGCAGTACCTGCAAAACCCATAAGTCATTCCAAAAATTAGTGCGAACACCATTCTTAACATTCCAAGCGCAACCCCTCCTTAGGAGATGAGCAGCTTTCGTGAAACTTCTCCAGGCAAAAGAACTTCCCTTAATAGGCCTGAGGATATCGAGGTGACTATGATGACGCCCGTACTTAGAGTGCATCAGCCGAGTCCAGAGACTGTTCTTGTCTTTAATTAGGCGCCACCCACTCTTGGCAAGCAGGGCTATGTTAGCTTGCCTAGTGTCCCGGAGCCCCACTTCCCCCTGTAGCTTTGGGCGAGTCATCCTGTCCCAGGCAACGAGGTGCATCTTGCTCCTGTCCTCTTCATGTCCCCACACAAAATCTCTACTTAACCTGTCAATACTGCGACAAACACCTTTCGGAATGAGTTCAGTATGCATAGTATAAACCGGAAGGGAGGCTATCACAGATTGGGCAACCGTGAGACGGGCCGCAAAAGATAGCCGCTTAGCCTTCCAATGAGCCATCTTCTTCTGGATCTGGAGGAGGAGCAGCTGGTACCGCCCTTTAGTAACCCTTTCTTGGATCGCATGGATCCCCAGATAGCGCCCAAGGTTAGCCTTCAGCGGAATCCCGGCTCTCCTACTTAGCTCCCCTGCTCTACTCCGGCTAATGTTTGGGGACACTTCGTTACCTTTCTTCCCGTTAATCTCCTTCCTTTCCTGGCTAGCCACCCGTTGCACAGATCCCTCAAAACCTTTCTCCAAAATCTGCTTCCCACTTTCCTTTTCTCCATTGCCCGCACCAACTTTCCCATTCCGCGCAGAGTATCCCTGGGTTGAACGCGACAAGTCCGGATCCGAGTTTCCTTTCCTAGGAAGATCCCTCGAATGGCGCCTTGACTTCCGACTGACCAACATCCAGGGCCCAAAGCCGGGATTCTCTTCCGACACCTCCGCCGTCGGGACTCCGCCGGCACCACCAACGACGATGTCGGATAGACCAGCTGCCTGTGGGAGTCGGAGAAGTGGGCAACCGTCGGCGGAGTGGCCAATCTTGCCACATTCAAAACACACTTCCGGGAGATTCTCGTACTCCACCTTTTGCCAAGCATCATCCAGCCATATTCGAGGAACCAGGTGCTTCGAAAGATCCACCTCCACCGCAATTCGGGCAAACTTTGCTCGTTGCTGGGTCAGGGTGTGGTAATCTAGTTTGATAGTTCTACCGATCAAGTTCCCCAGAGTGGTTAGCACCTCCCTATGATAGAAATGGATCTTCAAGGCCGGAAGTTGCGCCCATACGATCATCGTTTTGGGAAGCGGATCAGAGACCTTAAAACTCGGCATCCATTGTTCTACTCGTTTTCTCGCCACGCTACATTAGCAAGTTGGACGAGGTCCATCATAGGCTCTGGACAACATGTGTTAGCACCACATGCTACCAATAGTATAGCAAATGCTCAGAGCTAATTTTAGTCAATTGTGTTAATTACTAATATATTTTCCATTAAACTAAAGCCTAATTTGTGAAATCAACCTATTGTATACAATATATATTTTAATTTCTACACAAACCATATTATCTGTCATTTTTGCACTTTGTCGTTAGTGTTGTTAGAGTTCAAATTACATTGATTTGTATACAATAAGTACTTGGTGCGCTAATGAAAGACCGGGTTGCCAGCAATATGAAGTGCAGCCTGATTATCACAGTATAAAGGAGTGGGGCGCACTACAGGAAATAGATCCTTTAATCATGGGAAATCCGGTGTTTAAAAGCTTGTTTACCGTGAATAATAATTTTAGTCACGGGAAATTTACCGTAATATAAAGCTTTGTGTCTAATTGTATACCGTGACTAGTTATACTACTGTGACTAGTTATAACCGTCACGGTGTAGTTTTCCATGATTATTAGTACCTATTTATCACGAGAAAACCCATGTTTGATGTCACATTTTAGAGCATATAACCAAAAAATAAACATTTAAATACAGGATGCGCTTCTTTTAAGACGGTATTAACTGTGACAAAATCTTTTCCCGTGACTAGTTGTCAATTCAATAGTCATGGTACATGCTACATATATTCACTGTTTCTCCAGTGATTAAATACTAATCACTAGCACAATATTTTTCGTAGCTAAATCCTCTATACTTATATTAACATATAAATTGAAAAGACAAACTCTTGTAAAATAAGATTATAACACTAATATCAATTCAATCGATACAAATATCATTCCTTGATCAATGGTAATTAACATACAATTAAACAACTCATTCTTGTAGCATGAAAATCAAACCTAATGAGACCTTCAAGCCTTTTCCACACTACAAACATTATTCAAATGAGCTCAAAGTTACTTGCTCTCTAGTAAACTCAATTGTTGAAGCAATCAGACATAAAATAAACCATATACAAAGCAGTGAAGCACTATGAATACTTGTCCAGCCCTAAGAAGTAATGACAAAACAGAGTAGAAGCAAATCATAATAGCTCAACTACAAACAACTTAATAAAAGCTCAGCCCTTAAACTTCAACCTTACCAGTTACCACTATCCAAACCAAGCAATAAATATATGGCATTAGTGATTTCTGCAATTCATGTATAACCACCTACCTACCTTATATAATTCATCAATTGAAACAACTTAGTACTATCGAATAGAGACTTGCCTTTACTGCCATATGAGGAATTGCAGAACAAGACTAAACTTTCGACCACCAATCGCCAAGTTGAACCTGAATCACATTAAGGTTAAGTTAGGACATATATTGGACACTCAAATTTCAATTAGAACATACATTAACTACTGACATTAACTTCTGCTTCTGCTGCTACAGCTTCTACTGGTGCTAGTTGTTGTGCTGCAGTTGATGCTTGCCATTTGCTCTACATGACTACAACACACTATAAACAATCAATACTACTGCTTGGCCTAGTCCACTGTCCAATTTGATGAATTAAGGGCTCCAAGTACTGTTCCCTGCAATAACCTACTCAGTATGCTTTGAATTGACAATCTTTATGGTGATATGCAACCTAAGGAGGTAGTTGTAGCACTACAAAGGATGTTGAAGTATAAGATTTTTCCTATCTGTCTCTCTGCTGTGCTGGTTGATTTTGTGAACTAGCAAATTTAGGACCGTTGATTCATGTGGTATTGATAATTCCCATTATGTTGTGTTGTGGACTCGTGTATTGAAAAAGGTGCTTAATTGTGTAAAATGACAAAAGCAGTTGTTCTCCATGTCAAAACTTTGAAATTTTAAGACATGGGGTAAGCCCAACGTGTGTGGTACCGTTCATTGCACAAAATCGGGTTTTGGAAGAGATTTTACTGATCATTAGTGGGGTAGGCCTACGAGGTGAAACTAAGTCGTCTCTGGTACAAGTAAAAATTCCACCTTTGAATAGTTTGCCTACTTGAGGATGTGTTATTAAGGGCATGAATAGATCTTCCGACACCCTTTAATTTCATTGACCCTCCACACGAAGTGAGGAAAATGAGTTAAAAGAAGTACTTTGGCGAGCGACAGATGTACAGAAATTGCTCTTGCTCACCTAATAAGGGCCTACCGCACATAAAAACTTTAGTTGGAACCCCAGTAAAGTAAAGCTAAAGAAAAAAAAAGAAGAACGAAATAATACGAAAAAGGGGTTCCAACAAGTGAAATGAAATGAAAGAGCGCCCGATACAAAGAGTCCTTGGTTGTTAAATTGTGCGAGTCTCCTTATACAAAGAGTCCTTGATTGTGCTATCTTACTTCCACTGCTTCTCATGATCCTGGTTTGAGTCTAGTACTCGCATTGAGAGAGATAGGGTACGTCTTAGAAGAACAGTTAACCTCGTAAGTTGATAAATGATCTAGGAAATCCTCTACCAACGATCGAGGTTGCATGTTGCTATAAAGGTCTGGACACCTGCATTGGTTTGAGTCAGGTTTGCTTGGGGACAGTCAAACAGTTAAGTGTGGTGGAATTTGATGACTCGATATTTACACATGTTTTTTTACATCATTCTTATACTCTGTGAGCCTCATCTCTCGTGCTTTAGGCCGATTCACGCTAGTTTGTTCTTGTTTGTGATATTTCAGGTCCTAGTACATGAATGATGGTTTGGGGACAAGTTCGGGGTCGATTGGACAAAGTTGGGACGTTTGACGGACAGTTGATGAAACCGCACGAAAAACTCATGATTTCACGCGGCCGTGCAACATGGTCGTGCGCGGGCAAGAGCCAATTCTACGCGGCCGTACGGTGTGGCCGAGTAGCTGATTTTTACGCGGCCATGGAGGTACTGGCTGTGCAAGGGCACATTTTGGCCGTACGGAATGTCCAGGGGTTCTACACGGGCAAGGCTTAATTCTACACAGCCATTTGTTGGCCGTGTTACTTCCTTCAACCAACTAAGTGCAACGCCGCGGTTTGGGAGTTACACGGGCAGGCTGGATTCTACACGGCCGTGGAGCTTGGCTGTGTAATCAGGCAGAACTGGGTTTTAACCCAATTTTGGTTCTTTGAGAGGGAAATCGACTTTTGGAGCAAAAAACAGAGTCCTAGAGAGAGAAAGTGCGAAGAACAAACCCTAGGAGCTATTTGGAGTGGATGTCTCACCATTGAAGCCTAAATTGGATTCCCAGGAGTGAAGATTGACATCCCAGAGCAGATTATTCTCATCTTTATGAAAATGACTGCTTTGAATTCTGTTTTCCTCTCTCTCTCTCTCTCTCTCTATGGAGCAGACCCTTGTCTCACTTGGGTATGAAGTATCCTAGTTCCATGTGTTAGGGATCATGATTGTAATGACTTTTGGATTGATATATTGTTTGATTATAATCGATTGAAGTGTGTTTATGGAGGTAATTGAATCCTGATCAACTTCTTTTGATTTTTGCTGCAACTTGAGATAGCTAAAATTTGATTAGGTTGTTAGAGCTTCTTCAATTGATAGGAGTGAATTGATTGTACGAGAGACAGTCAATTCACTGCTTTGTACTAGAATCTATTTCCATTAGTGGAGTTCTATGTTAATTGCCTTAGTGTTCTATCCGGTGAAGACTAGTCGTCTTCCAGGTAGTGTGTCTGAGAGAGCTTGGTCAGCTTAAGAGATTCCAAGCTACTATCGGATCTTCCGCAGTTTAATCAACACTAAATCAACCAAAGGAAATTACAACTTGGACCTAATTATGGATCTAGGGGGATTCATTCCCGAGTGGCTACTGTCTTGCTTCAGAAAACTGGACAATTTACTGCTTTCTTTCTGCTTTAGTCAAACTCATTCCCACTAAACTCAGTCCCCCTAGATAATAGAAGTTCACGGAGTATGCAGTAGAACTAGACCCCGAGTTGATAAATTGAACTTTCCCACTATTCTGCATTTCCATTCCGCAATTACACTTGGTCGTAGTTTGGTGTTGTGTTTTAGCGTGTCATTCGTTTCTGAAACACCCTAAACCAGCCGGGTACTAGTTTTACCAAAATACCCTTAATAAATCGTGAAAAAAATAATAACTGAAAATACATAGAAAAATAGCGGAAACATTTCATAAATAACTTTAATAAATACCGAAAACAGCTGTCATTACTTAAACACAAAGCCTGACACTTGGGCAAACTCAAACCTTAAAATCTCAAAATGATCTACAGCCTATACTCATAATCATAAACTGAAACAACTAAAAAGTCTCTAATGCTACTGCTTCCTGAAAGCCTTGACCAGACATCCTCCGTGGCGCTTGTACTTCCCTACTCTAGCTGGCTTCCCTCAAACTGCTCCTCTCGAATTGCTGCTCTCTAACTCCTCTTAGTCCTCTTCAAACTAGTGAGTGAGTTGGGTTCAGTCTACTCCCTTACGTTTGAAATCTACAGTATTTCGTACTTGAGAACTTTACTTAAACAGTTAACTTTAATTGGTGGAAGTTGTTTGTACTTCCAATCTTAATATCTTAACTCTTAAACTTTGAGGGAGTTGAAGTTACTCTCCTCTCTTAAAGCTCAAATCTTTACTTAAATACTTGACTAACACGGGGATCCCTCACTAGCTAGTCCGGTTACCCAACTCATACGTATGAAAAGCCATCCAGGCTTTCCTTAAACTTAAACTTATCGTGGAAGGCTCTTCTTCCACGATTCTCAAGAGCATAACTGCTGCTCATCTTAAAAATCTCAAAAGCATCACTGCTGCTCAACTTAAATATCTCAAGAGCATAACTATTGCTCTGTCTGAAAATCTCAAATGGCAACAGACTTGCGCTAGTGATTAAAAGCACATAAAAAGATATCACCTTCTTAAAGGTGAATT